CTTCCCCTCGCGCTCCGCGGGCGGCCAGAGCTGCGCGATGGGAGCAGCTCCCACGCCGCGCAGCGCGGTGCTGGCCGAGGGCTGCGTGTGCCCCCACTTGACTGTGGGTCCACTCACCCGCGAGGAATAACTGCATCACGACCTGCGTTTCTGCTGGAATCAGCAGCATGAAAGGATTTAATGCCAAGGTCTAAACTCTTATGTTTTAGATGTAGTTCTTCAAAACAGCAGATCGAATATAGCTATCTCAAATGGATCCTTTCGCACTCTGTGCTACCTAATCTTCGCCCATGCCTCAGAAAAAGAAACCCATCAAGAATTACTGAGGACTTCTTTTTCTTAAAAAACAAAACAAAAGCAAAATAACCCAAAACCCCATGAATTCTGAGACAGAAGGTGGAAAACAGTAAATTCTGGCTAGATCTTGACTTCCTATTGCTGTGATACAAATCTCTTTTAGAGATACATCTTTGCCCTGTAAGCCCTGGATTCAAGGAACACTTAGTCATGCAAATAGATACGCTCTTAGAAAATGACCTATTAAGCTCAGTGCAGCTGCAAGCCTCCCTTATTAGGATTCAATTTTTGTGTCTAGCACAAGAGAATTTGTAAACACAATAATGCTCCTTCCCAAACAGCTACTCAAACTTTGGAGCAAACGTAACACTCAAAAGAGGTTTCCTATTTTAAAATGTTTTTGCCATCAGAAGCCGCACACAGGGCAGAGGCTGGCTATCAAACAGCGGGAGGAATCAAAAATTAATTAATTTGATAGGAGGTTTGTGGGAAGGAATACTTAAAATAAATCCACCGTCTACTTTAAAACACTTTTTTCCCTGCCTTAGCTCTACTACAGGTTTTGTTCTATTGAAGGCCAAGGCAAGACCAAGGAGTTGTGTTTCATACAAGCAGTAGGCCGGGCTCGCTGGTGGAACAACACCTCAGCGCGTGACAGTGACCGGTGAAATCAGTCCTTGGTCTCCTACCTAAACCTCACAGCCTCTCACTTTTTGGATCCTCCGAGATGGGAAATGTTAAGCATCTTCACGCAACGTCACAGTTCTTTCCATCCCAGCTTCATTTTATGCTGTCCCAGCTACACGTAATGCATTCAGCTCTCAAAACATCCCACTGTCTGTAAGTTTTTCCACAGTCCAGCGTTGAAGCCCGGAGAAAAACCTTCAGACAGCGGCGAAGCCCACCAGCGCAAGGAGGTTTGTCGGTGGCCGTGCAGATGCCCGCCCGTGCCGGCCTGCAGCCCCGGGGTCAGCCTGGTGAAGGACGGCTGCGGCTGCTGCAAGGTCTGCGCCAAGCAGTCGGGGGAGACCTGCGACGAAGCCGCCGTCTGCGATCCCCACAAAGGCCTCTACTGCGACTACTCGGAAGACGAGCCTAGGTATGAAACAGGCGTGTGCGCATGTAAGTCGTTCTTTCATGTTCCCTTCTTGAAAGCCAGGAGGGTGGGACGGCGCAGGTGAACGGGTTTGGAGGCAAACTACTTGCTGGCACCATGCAGCTCTGCGCCGGGCAATTGATCCTCATTTAGTCCTCCTGCTTCTCAGTCGGAGAATCCGAGAGTCGGGCTGGGACTGTCTTTAAACTTACCTGTGTATGCATTAGTGAAACCAGCCCACTGGGCACAAGCCTGCTGTTTGCAGCCACGCTGACTGATCTAAAGGTAGGCGGCTGTAGTTATCCCTGGGCGTAAATAAAAGAGAGATATGCGCTTGGGCTGGGAAGAACTTGAAGCTGCGGGTGCAGGAAGGGCTGATGGCAGCACTACAGCACCCTGTGAGCAGGAACCACCTGCTCCTCCTGCGGTAGTAACTGTTGTTTTCCATTTGCAGATCTGGTAGCGGTAGGATGTGAGCTCAACGGAGTTTATTATCTTAACGGGCAGACCTTCCAACCGAACCCGCTCTATCAGTGCCTGTGTGTCAGCGGTGCGATTGGATGTACGCCTGTCCTCGCGCCAGGATCAGCAGCAAGTCCCTGCGCCAGAGTTGGGGGCCGAAGGCAGCCCGGACAATCCCTCTGCGTCCCGGGACAGCACAAGCATCTTCAGTCACCGAACTACAGACTGATGTCAGGT